AAGTAGCTTTTGTCATACACCCAGCCGTCCACACAGGGCTCTGTTTCTGCCTCACTCAGATTCCAGAAGGTGCTGTTCAGGTGGAGGAGCTGCCATTGGGGATGGACAAAGCGCCGGCACTTCTCTGGCCTGAGGTTGGAGTCGAGTGGGATGGAGATTCTCAGGAGGTCCTCCTGGCTGAGGAGCCCAGTGCCATTGTCAGAGAGCGTGTCATTGTCGAGGATGCGCACCCAGCAGCGGTGCTCAGGCACGGCTGCCGTGAAGTTCTCTAATAGAATATGAGTATATGCTATAAAGCTAGTGATGTAAAAGAAAAGTAACTGAAGGATCTGGAATCTTCCTAGGACTCCAACATGATCCAGTAGGACTTCAAAACCCATTGGGACTGAACAGGAATTCTCCCCCAAGGGGGAATGTGAGTGCTGCTATGAGATATATTGAGAGAAGAACACGTTTCCCTCCACTAGCCCAGCAGTGCTGCACTTGTCCCAACTCACTGTCTTCTCACTGGGCCCTGTCTCACCACTTTATGCCTGGGGAAGGAATTTCCTGGTCCTGTGGGTTTTGGCAGCTAGATGGCTTTAATAGTTACTAAAGGAGAATTTTTGTTGTTGGTTTCAAGGAATGACTGTGATCTTTGCACTTCTTGAGGAGCTGAGTGATTTTATAATCTAAAGGCATGTGTAAAATGTTGTTTTCTCTTTTTTTCCCCTTCTTCAGAAGAGGGATATTGGACACCCAGAAATTAACTGGTTTATTATATTTCTATGCAAAAAACCGGAGCAGAGTAGAATTTTCCCTCAAGTTAATGAAAGATGTGGTTAGTTAGATGTAAAGCAACGTGGAATGGTGAATATTAATGCTGACTTTTGGTTAGTGTTTAAATTCTTCTAGTCATGGTGCTTTTATAACATTTGAAATAGGGAAAAAAGAATAGAGAAAGGGAGGAAGCAAATAATGTAGTTGTGTGTATGCTGGTCCTGGGGCTTGAACTCAAGGCCTGGGAGCTCTCCTTGAGCTCCTTTTGTTCAAGGCCAGCATTCTACCACTTGGGCCACAGCTTCATTGCTTGCGTTTCAATGGTTAGTTGCAGGTAAGAGTGCCACAGATTGGGCTGGGAAAGTGGCTCAGTGGTAGAGTGCTTGCCTTGCATGCATGAGGTCCTCGTGAGTTTAGGCCTAGAGTTCAGGCCTCATGACCAAAAAAAAAAAAAAAAAAAAAAGAATACAGCAGATATTCCTGATGGAGCTGGCAGTGAAGTCAGTTAATATCCCCTGACCAGCTAGGATTACAAGCATGAGCCAGTGATGCTGGACACCACTTCTCCTCCTCCTCCTCCTCCTCTGCCCTCCTTTCTGTTTCTCCTCCTCTTCCTCCTCTTCCTCTTCTTCCTCCTCCTGCTCTTCCTCCTCCTGTTCCTTCTCCTCCTCCTGCTCCTCTTTTATTTCTTCATCCTCCTCCTTTTCCTCCTGAGTTTTTTCTTCTGCCTCCTCTTTTTCCTCCTCTTCCTCTTCCTTTCCCTTTGTCTTCTTCCCTTTTTTTATGGGTCATGGGGCTTGAACCCATCACCTACGCATATATAAGATAAAATGTTCAGTCATGAAATAATATAAATAAATATAATTAAGTAAATCTAAGAGGTGAGATGAAAAAAATAAAAGCATCCGAGTGTGGTGTCTCACACCCATATTTCTAACTACTCAGGATGGGGAGATGGAGAGGATGATGGTTCAAGGCTAGTCTAGGCAAAGCTCATGAGATCTCACCATGACTAGTAAGAGTTGGGTGTGGCGGTGTGTGCCTATCCTCCCAGCTAGGTGGGAACACATATGTGAGCATCATGGTCCACAGGAGGCCCCATTAGACAAATTATGAAGGCAAAATGTCTGGAGATGAGGCTCAAGCAGTACAACACCTGACAGTTCAAACTCTAATATCACCAA